CTCATTTTAATCAGAAATGTGCGGGCTACAATCATGCCTCATTAAGAAAGGTTCGGGTTATTTTTTGGGGTTTCTGAAAAACTGATTTTCTGGAAAACCAGGTCTCCGAAGGCCTAGCAGCAAAAACTATTGTCATATTCGGAATCAGCATAGTCGATAACCTATTCTCCACTAGATTTCAAGAAAAAAGCGAGCGGACACTTGGGGCAGTTCCCTCGTAAGTCCCTAAAACAACATTATTTCACAATAAGGTTTTCACAAGAAATCCGAAAAATGCAACAGTTTTACCTTATTTTGAGCTGATTTTGTTAATTTATAAAAATTTTGTGTCGTATAATCTCTGGCAACCATTCCACCAACAGTATAAGAAACCCCCTTATGAACATCCAATTTTCTTAACATAAGCAAACGATACTGTAGACTATCGTTTGTGATTAAATTTCAAGAACTCTTTTACTTTGCAATCCATGAGGATAGTTGAAAATCTCTGTTTTTGACATCACAGCATTTTTCCAAAAGCTTATTTGACTCTGTTGTTGTCCATGGCAAAACAAATACCCATTTATCGATAAATATAAGCTGTGTGTCGTCAGGTATCTCTTCATTTGCTACTGCATCTCTGACCATTTTAACACGGACACTATGATCTACACAACAAAAATAAGCAATAGCAAAGGTGTTATTTGTCTAAAAAGTGAGAAATTTACGAGGGGAGGAAACGAGGGGAAAAAAGCAGCTGCATAGCTCGGGTGGTACCAAGTGGCTCGACATGAGTTCCAATGGGCCTCACCCTTCGGAACTCATTGAAGTTGAGTGGGACTGAATGGAACTGATTGAAGCTCATTGGAATTTATTGGAGCTGAGTGGAGCTCACTGGCTTCCACTGTGTTCCGCCGGGTTCCACTGAGTTCTATCGGGTTCCACCGAGTTCCTGGTTATACCGGGAGCTGCTTTTTCCCCCTCGGAAGTTTACCCATTGTTGTTGCGATTAGTTTTGCATAATTATAATAAAAGGCAACGGCTAAACCTTTACCAAGACTTGTATTCACCTAAAATGGAAAAAAAAATAGTCTATCATCTATATCAGCGTTTCAGTTCCCGAGAGAATAGAATCAGGTACTCACTGCCGGTCCTGAACAAGAGTTCAAATAACTTTCTGGTAAAGAACAAATCGCGCGTCACATAGGGACACAGACGAACTCCAATCACTGTACCGTTTGACTAGATTTTAACTGCTTTTAGACATTCGAAAGAGAGAGAAAGGGTCAGGACATCATTGCAGTTAGAAAGAAGGATGCCTCAAGAAAACTGAAGTTTTTAGGTACGTACAATATCTTTGTCTTCCAGTAAACCTTCGATACTGGGAAAAAATTCTGTATAATTGTTTGATACGATGTTCATATCTGAAAAACGAACCGACAAACAAACGACGTTTTCGTAAGGAGGAGTTGGTCATTCTTACTTACTATCTAAGTAAAACATAATTTCAGTAATATCTTTTTCACTTGGTATTTTCTGTTCATTTAAATCAAATTTAACAAATGGTACAGATTGCATTAGTTTTGTTGGAATATCAGATATTCCACCATTGATTACAATCAATACATCACGAAATATACCACGCTATTACCGTCGATGATGAAAACACATCCAGAAATAACTTCTTCCAGTAACACTTTTTACTTACATTTTTTGACTTTCTTGCAGAAATTCGTTCCATCAATTGATCAATAGGTCCATTTTTTGTGAATATAATTATTACTTGTTCGTTATCTTCTATCTGATCGAATTTATGAGCAAAACTGGCAAGAGCTGTAAAGTCAAAACAACTATTATATTATCTTAGTTTATCAAATCTATCATGGTTCTTATATATATATACGTATCCTGCATTCTATCAATGCCGATAGAAAAAAATCTATTTCTTCTGTTTGACGGTCAACATATAGCGCCATCACCACGATACGAATATGACTCAGTGGCACCGTCATAAATTTGTCGTTTTCTCCATCTCTGGCGTTCCATTGAAATAACAAATTTATTTACCAATAACTCCGTCAAAATTGATCCGATCGTCACCTTAATTTTTCCATTTTGATAATTATTGCTTAGTCGTATTTACCTAGCAATCCGCTTCCTTCCAAGTGTTCTTGTATGAGATCTTTTATGTAAAAAGAGACGGTAGGCTGAAATCACTGAAAATCAAGAGTTGGCTTAACTCCCGTTTTGAAGAAAACATTCTGGGCTATCTATCTGTTCAAAAAAGTCGGTATAGTCCTATCGAAAACTTTTTCAGGCATCACGTAGCTGTCTAAAAATGTCATAGAAAACCTGTTTCGAAAACTTTTTGAAATGAAAAGATACTTCCAGGCCTCCTCTTTCGAATGGCGAAAACCGCAACTTAATATCTCTTTTCTATCGAGCATTAGTCGAAAAATAGTCACAGTCATTCTTTTAAAGAGTGCTTCGTAGAGAACGAAATTGTGAGATTTCAAATGCAACATGGAAAATTCTCTAGAATATCTTTATTTTTCTGAAATAGGAATACAGACAAAAAATTAGAAGCAAAGTCACTATAATTAATCATCTACATTGATAAATTCTAGCATTATGAAAAAATTTCTGACAATCAATTTCAGTCTGTACACCTAAAGGTGGAGGATTAGTTTCGGTGTTAGTTAAAGGACTTGTAATAATTATTTTTTTATTTGTTGAAATAAATATTTAAGGTCTGAATGACATAGTAAATACTGAATTAATGATGCACCTAGTGATTTGGGTATTTCTAATTCACTCGCATTCGATAAAAGCGAAAATATACGATAATCATCGAATAATATAGATGAAAATTCTTAATTTTGTTATATTAGCAAATTTTAATTTCGTTGAAAAAGGATAATCCAGAGAAAAACTACGTAATATATTTAATATTGTTATATTTGGACATGTTTCTTTAATAAATTCTATCAATTCTGTTGTTGTTAATACATAATTATAGATATCAACTATCTTTACACTAGTCATTGGTAATCTTGTTTTTCCTTGAGGTGTATTCAAACGATAATTCACTATATTATTTAATACAAAATTTAAATATTCGAATTTAAATGGTAATGATAGTACTGTACAAATATGAACTGACGAATCAACATAACACATTACTGGATATTCTAACCAATACGGTGTTTGATATGATAATAGCAGAGTATCTAAACTAAACATATTTATTTTATCATAAAAATAATAGCAAAAAGAAAAATATTTCAATTTTGGTAATTTTATCAATAACTATGAGGGTGAGTGGCCATCAATAATTGATCCTTTAAATCGAATATGTAATGATATACGTTCGAGTGAACGATAAAATTGTTGAATTAACAACTCTAAATAATGATATTTAAGTATGCGTCTTTCTAAATGAAATTCTTTTAAATACAATGAAAGCAATTTATCTGTAATTATGTCATAATTATAGTCATCATCGTTTTCACTAATATCATTGTCTTCACAATCCATTTCATTATCAAATTCGAACAATTTTTTATAACGAACATTTATTTGTATTTTTAAATATTCTAATTGTGGTAAATATTCAACCTCACGTACTTGAAGTCCGTCCCCTATTAGAAGTACTTTTTGGCGAAATTTTTTTGAAAATTCCCCTATAGGGTATAGGTATAGGGCATTTTCCGACTTTTTTCGCGGACATAATAGAAGACCACTGGTCTTCCAGGAGTTAGAAGACCATGGTCTTCTATTTGACTTTCAGGTCATATAATCGGCAGTGGTCTTCTAATAGGGGATGGTCTTCTATTATGGGGGGG